ACGCGCTCGCAACTGCAGGTCATATGAGCGCGCGGGATACACCAAACAATTTCAGTTTGAAGGAAATTTTGAATTTTTCCCTGGCGGCGGCCGAAGCCTACTCTTATCGATTTTGGACCGACCTCCTAGGGATCTTTAACGTGCGCAACTTGCACACGGGACCTCCGATATTTTTCGCCCTTGTCCGAGAAGGCTAGGTGTAGATCTTTCCCACCAGAAGATCAGGGGCGTGGCAGAAAGACAGCAGTAAGAAGGGGCCAAAGAGTAGCAGTAGAAATGCTGCAGAAAGAGTCAGGAGCCTAGAGGAGGGGGCAAAGGAGGCGAGAGGGTGGGGGCAGAGAGTAGAGACGAAAGCAGACCAGAGAACATTGATGGCAAGAGAACAGGAAAGGAGGTGAAATGAGACAATTTTAAATCAGAATTTTTTTCCCGTCGCTACCCGGATTCGAACCCGGGACCTTTGAAAGAGAGGCGAACACTTTAACCTCTAGGCCACGAGAGCCCCCGCAATAACTGTAACTGTAGTGTAAGGGTGCAGCCACGCTTCACGGCCAACGCAAACGAATAACAGATTTACTAATATTTTTGTTGCTAGCCACCCGTGTCCGTGATTAGCATCCCATTGTCTTTTCGGGAGCAATACAATTTGCTGAACCGTTTATCCATCTTTACAAGAGGGGATGAAGAAGTAAAGTAAAGGTAGGCTACATAATTAGGGGGCTTACTTCATGTATAATGTATTAGATCTAGTATTAGGCTAAGTAACGGAAAAGATACACACGCAGACAGATCTACTTCTTCACTAATACTCCAAGAACTATGATGTTCTGTTTAGTCAGTATGCGTAGGCCTACTTTTATTATAAGCTCAAACAAGATCATATGAACAGAGCTGTTTAAATTCGTTGTTCCGTGCTGACAGTCTGACAGTGGTAGAAATTAATCGTGGAGAGGGACACTCCAGTTTTACCTTCACCTAACTTGCGCTTTCGTTTGTTGAGTAGTGCATAGGTTGAATTGTTTGTGTTAAGCTATATGATTTTTAGCTATGTATCAATATAACAAATCGTTCACTTGAGTAGTTGACGGGTGGTCTGGTGTTGTTTTTGCTCCTACTTTCCTATCAAACATCCATTGTTCTTTAAATTTCTCCACCTTCTTTTCTTTCTATGTTACTCTCTAATAACGCATCTAATCTACGGCGCTTATAATTATGTAATTATGTTGCAATTGCCGTGAACCTCTTTCTAAAACCCACTAAATCGTGCACTTCTTTTTTAAATACTTTAATGACATAACATCAGTTTCTCGACCTCACAGATCCAACAGACCAGCCGTGTTCAGTGCACCAGGGGGAGCCATGTCTGACCCGTTCACGGCGTACCCGGCTCGTGTGTGTGGTGAGTGACAGTCACACACGTCAGCAGCACTCACCTCTGGTCGCACCGGAATATGAATGTTATGATGATAGTATTGATAGGCAGCTCAAGATCAAGATCAAGATAAAAACATATGTTAATACATGTAGATCTATTAATGACTTAAAACTGTTGTTTTTGCTTCGCTGCAACTTTAGAAGCTGATTTAACCCAAATTACGTGATGAAAAATAAAATTGTTAACTTCTTGAAAACAACATCGCACAGTAGCCAGTACTAAGA